TGTCCTCTCTTGGTAAAATGGAGATAGTATCTTTCCTGTGGAGATGAATTCGTTACTGCAGGTGACATACTGCGTGTTGTGGTAGCAGAAGCTGAAGAAGAGACGCATAATTCTTCTTCCACACAAGCACTTGAAAAATCCTTGAAAAATGAGATCTTGTGACATGCCAGAAGAGAGGACAAAATGCATGTTGATAAGTGTGCATTATATGAGAAACACTGTTCTGCATACTGGTAGGTCAAGGAGAGGGGGAAGCACCAGTTAATGTAAGTCAAGATGATAGCATATATCCAAGAGATAAATATTAAGGGTCCACAGGCAACTTCTGTCTTAACATCTGTGTCTGACTTTTCAGCTTTAGAAATGTTTTTTAAATGTTGCTTTCATTTGTGTGATTACTGCTGGAAACATCAGTGGTCCATTTATTTTTGGTGTCTTCCCTCCTGGTAACTAAAATATACATCAAAGAACACTTTTAAAGAAATAATCATATTTTGACTAGTGAATATTTTAATAAACAAGTTGTATAGCCTGATGTCAAATAGTGTTCAAACAAGTTAAAATAATCATTTTAAAGTCACAGGCAAACTCATAGTCCTTAGTTAAGGAAGCTCCAAAACAAAACTGCATGTTGTTCTATCTGTCCATATCAGAGTATGCCCTCTGATGTGAACTTTAATTAGATAATGACATGCCTTTTCATTTTTGCCACCAGAAACCTTCAGTAAAACTTGATAAGAAATCGCTTCCTTAACTAAATTCTTAGTTTATTAATAATGCTTCAAATGAACTTCTCATCTTTGCCTGTAACTTGTATAGCTTTCCAGTAGATCTGCACTACCAGCAGCATCTTTAATTCTTTTTAACCAAGTTAGCTGTGCCCTAACTATATTAATGTTTTTATTTAAACTTCACCATGCAGCTGCATCACAGATCATGCCTTAGGTTTTCCCTGTTCCTTTCTTGATTTATGATCTTAAAATATTACCTCAGTGCTCTATTTTATTAGCTCTACTAGTGGTAGAGTGTGGCTTCTTAGACACAACAGAAAGGGCTCTATAATTTTGTTATAATTTTTGGACTTAATGTCCAAGTTGTAAACATTATTTAGTCTTAATGGAATTTTGGTTTTAGGAGGTGGCGGAGTGTCTGCACTAAGTTGTAGTCGTCATCAATCAACTCTTCAGGGTGTTATTGGATCTGGCCCTGGAATATTTTCCAACATCTATAAAAATAAATTTTCTCTTGAGGTGAAACATCTTTTCTAATGTATGTAAAGCATTCCATACTCTTTAGATAGTCTCTAACAGATGAGCTACTTTTTCATTGATGAGCCAACAAAGATGTAGAATGCTTTATACTTTAATTAAATGGAATATGTAATAGAAACAGGGGACGGCTAACTCTTAAAACAGTCCACAGAGGGCTCCAAATAATAAACATCCTACTTGAACTGAGATGATGATAGCTGAAAATGCATTAAGTAGACAGAGAAACAAAAACAAATGAAGGTGAGAACTCAGTCAAGCAGGCTGAAGTGGAGTAAACACTTTGTCAGGAGGGTAGCCCATGCTAGTGCTAATGTGTTTTGCATTAGTATGATGCCTATAAAATACTAACTCCTGGCATCAGAGTTAATGACAAAAATCTACAACAGTTTTACCGTATGTACACATGCAGGAAGAATAATGCCAGAAGAAAGATTCTTATCTGTTAATGTTTGGTTTGATTTGGGGTTTTTTTGTTTGTTTGTTTTTTCTTTTTCAATATATTGCAGCATTTGAAAGAACTGGTAACAACAGAAAGTGACAATTGTTATTTAAATGTGTTAGAGTTCTGAAGTTGAGTTTTGATATTGATGACACAAAAAAGATCAGACAGTACCAGAAACATACACTGAATCAAGCTGTTATTTTTAGAATGTTGTTCAGAGGACCATATTTATCAGGCTAAAGTTCTGATAAGAGGATTACATATATATGTAGCAATATTAGGAGGATTTGTAGCTTCATTAGCAACTTTAGAGGAAGTAATACCTTCATGTATGCAACTGACTAAAAGGAAATACTTTCTGTGACTGGTTGAGATTCATAAAGTAAATTTCAGCTGTGGAGGGTTATACAGAGGACAGTGCTAAGTCTCTAAAATCATTTGCCACTAGTCTCATTATCTGTGCTGTTGGCAGGCAGGAGCCAGCCAATGCTTGCTGTGAGGTGAGGGAAAGGGGTCTGTAGGGTCTCTTCCCTGTGATGGCATGGAGCTGGTAGGTGGGTGCTCGTGCTGGCCTCATGTGAATTTTGGAAAGGCAGCAGAGCAGTGAGAATGTGACCTGAGAAGCTCTCAGGGTGTCCCTGCAGCCCTGCCTCCTGCATTTGCAGAATTTTGAGTGTAGTTGATGAGTTAGGAAAGCTTGGAAGCAATTGCAGGCAGCATGCAAATTGGGCCAATTCCAAGGTTAGAGGAATACAAAAAGGGCCTTAAACTGTCCCTGCAGTGTTTGCAAATTTGCTGGTGGCTCCTTCTTTTTACAATAGAGTAAGGCAGAAGAAAATTAAAGGACGTGTCCAAGATGAGAGTAAGTCATGTTGAGAACAAGATTAAAAGCTTTTATCTTTATCTCCAGGGTTTTGTCTGTCTACTCTAAAAGGAGAGCGTTTGAGAACTCCTCTGTAAAAAAGTACAGCTAATGCCAGCTGAGCCATATCCACCAACAGCCCGGCTGACTCTGAGTTTCAGTTCCATCTCACTACACTCGAGTCTTGGCAGGGAGGCACAAACTTACTCCATGGAAATACTCATGGCTGCTAGGCTCAGATCTTTCCAACTGTGAGATTTTGGAGTCTCCAAAGGCACGCTTCTGCCAATGTTTACAGAATGTTATCACTTAGCGCTGGCATAGGTGTTTCAGAAATTCTTATTAAACAGTTCGAGATGATCTGCCTTTTATGTCCTCAGTTAGAGGAATTTTCAAATTGCCTGCTTTTTGCACTGCTGAAGTGGATTGAATTTTTGTTTGGCCACGACAAAGACGCATATTGTAACCTTCCGTGAACTGTGGGTTTATGTCTGTATAAAAAAAGCAAAAGCAGTATTCCATTTTCCTTTCTTCCTATTATTTAATTCCTCATGTGCAGTTAGGTCACTTCTGTTGTCCCTTTCAGGTACTCGGCACACAGGCATCCAAGATGTCCTCTGTACTTAACAGTTCTTCAGTCCTAAGTATGGCATAAAAATGACGGTTACCTAAGCCACTTGCTTACCACCAATCTTAACATCTCCAGCAGCATCCTGGCTGTGTTGCTTTGAGTGCTTCTGTAGTTCTCTTCTGGGCTCCACAGGGTTGTTGTCCAGCGAGCTATCACGTGTATCTGATGGTGAGATAGGCAGTGGGATAGCTCTGTCATGTTTCCATCCAGCAGGTCCTTTCACTTTCTTGAACCTTTTTATGCTTTATTTCATCAAAACACAGACATTTTTTCTCAGACGTGATGCATGCAGCAGTTGCTGGTGGCCCCCACGATGATCAGTTTCTTAGTTTCTGGTTAAGAAATCTATAGTAGTGGCTGGAAGAAAATAAACAGTATGTATAACTGAGGAGAGGACATAGCATATAGTGCTCTGAAACACTGCTGAAAACATTTGGAAGTTTTTGTAATGCTTCTTTTCCGTAGGTGTCACAGGGAAGCTGTGTGGTTGTGAATGGGAAAGCAGAGTGACTCATGAGGCTGCAGCTGAGAGAAGTGGCTTAGTCAGAGGCTTTAATACCTGCCGGGGGGTTAGCTGGTGAGAAGCTCTAGCTTATTCCTGTTAATTTTCACAAGAAATTTTGGAATGCCATCAGGGCTTCATTCTCTGTGCTTTGTATAGACCATTTCTATGGGTTTTTCATCCTTGCATCTTAGTAAACCCTGAAGTCTTGGTCATGGACAGGCATTAATCATTGCTCAAGATAACTTCTTGCAGCAGAGTTCTAGTTCAGCAGTTATGCTTTGCCTACAACAAATTTATCTAGCAATTGAAGCTGGAGAAAATGTTTTTTTATTTATTGTTTTTAAGCTATTAGCAGTTTTGCAGTGTTTTATAACCATATCATCCTGTTAGTACAGGACATTTCATTACCTGGGAAGGGAGATGTGACATTATCATACAGAATGCTGCTGATCTTGCTCTGTGGAGTGATTGTGTCCAAGATACTGAAGTATTTGCACAAGTAAAATTAACAGGACGAATTTCAGGAGTATGAATTTTTTTCTTCTAAATACAATGACTTAATAGCTCAAGATAAAGTACTGCCTGCAGTACTGATAGGGTAGAGCTGGAAAAAAAATATTATCTTCCATGTAATGAAAAAGCAATTTTAAGTGAATGTATTTGAATGTGTACTTGAATGAGCTACTCTTATTTGTGCATTTCTTCTGTTGGAACTACTATGTTCTTATGAAAGGTTTCTTTTTCATCATTACAGGTGAAACCATGAACAAAGGAACTGCTACAAAATTGTATTTTACTCAGCCTGGGTTAGCCTTGGGTGAACTAGGTGCAGGCCTCCTTATCATTTAGTAGCTAGCCTATGCATTTGCATTTAAAAATATTGCTGCTGGAAAGCATCCTACTAGCTGTTCAAATTATCTATGCTTTAGGTTGGCTTCATATCTTAATCGTGTTTTTCCTTTTCTTCTGTGAATTATGCTTTATGGTGATTGCTTTGAGGTTGTCAGAGAGATCATAACATTGTCAGGATGCAGAAGAGCCACATTTTTAACTATGGAACACTGTTCAGGTAAAGTCAACAGTGTGAATGAGCACCTCTATTTATATACCCAAGTTAGCAGGGGCAAACAAGCATACCTGAAGCAAGCCATGAAGAGACAAAAATAAGAAAACGGTCAGGCCTCTACACCCTCTCTTCTGTAACTGTGGTATTTCAAGATACCACATCAGAATGATTTATGTATCATTCTGTCATGAGCTTCCATTTCTTATGGTTTGGTTTTTTTCAGCCTCTTGGGGCCAGCGACTATTTGGAGATATCAAAGCATTTTGACACGGTCTTTGTTCGTGACATACCACTTCTTACAATGGCAAAAAGGACACAAGCTCGTCGTTTCATTACCCTTATTGATACCTTTTATGAGCATAAGGTGAGAACAAAGCCTTTCCTATGTGTATAGTATTGGAAGCCCTAAACCCTGACTGTTCTAATTGGTTTGAAGTAAGGCTTTCTGTACTAATGACTTGGAAAATATAAGCAGAATGAAATAGCACAGCTAAGAATCATCATTCCAGCTTTGTAAAAAAAAGCTTCATTGCAATAAAAGCAAATAGGCAGGTATTCTTTGGGTTTCTGAGAGTATGAAGCATGGCCATAAATACAAGCCTGAGCTCATTTGCCTTTCTTGAATAGGGATGTTATTTCTTTCCTAACCCAGGAAAACCACAGAAGCCACGTCATCATTTTAATAATGAAAGATTGTGCTGCCAACTGTGCTGCAGTAAATTTAAATTTTTCAGATTTTAATCTGTATGAACAGTTAGTCAGGAATCAGGGCCTTCCTAAACAGGGTACAGAGGAATAAATAGCATGGTTACATTATTAAGTTTAAAGGAAACAGTCACTGTAGGTTTTACATTAGGTTGCAGAACTGCTAATGGAATAGTAATGATGGATGCAGCAGTTCATGTAGGTTTACAGAGGTTTTAATCATGGGAGCAAAATCAGCACTACTAAACCAAAGAGAAGGTCATGTTTAAGATGATTTTTTTTAAAAGTAAGACAAGATATGAAACTGTATCTTAGATGTGATTGTATATGCACACACTTAAATATTTATGTAATCAGGAATTATCAATTGAGATTTTTTTTTCAAGAAAATCCTGGTAAAATGATTAGAATGAGCCCAGCAAGGGCCAAGGATTCAGCAAGATATTGAACTGAGCTTATGAGTTGTCTCATTCAAGTCAGTCACTTTCTTTGTGCTTTATGATTTGGAAATGGACAGTTTCTAAGATGATATGCAAATATTTATAAACTAATAATAGTGTGCTAGAATGGGGGGGTGAGCAGTGGAGGGGTGGTCTGCTCTGCCTAGGTGGTGTCACTCAGAGCTGCAAGCAAACAGCCACTTCCTATTACTTCTTCCAGAGGAAAAACACAAATGTTCTACTCCTGTCACAAGCAGCTGTTTGGAAAATAACATCTGAGAGAGCGTATCTGTGGAGTCCTGTCCACAATGCAAATGTTTTGCCTGTGTGCTCTCAACAGATGTGTCCTTCTCTAACAATATTTCTGTCTGTCTTCATTCCAGCCCCCCCACCCCCCAAGATAGTGTATCTCACTGCACGTTGTATCTCCTCCCAGCAGACATGAAAACAGCATCACTAAAGTTATTGGCAAATAATCTGCACTTGAGTAGCATAGGTAAAACCAAGAGTGGCTCCACTCAACTTTCTGGGAGATTGGGGATTTAAATATTCTTTAGATGGACATAGGTGTGCAGTGCTCTTACCTACTGAGAGGAAACAAACTGTGAGGGAAAATAAAGTATGGGGTACTAATACTTAGTAGCTGTTATTTTAGAACATAAACTTGATTATGACCTCATTAGCTGTGTAGCAGTTATTTCAAGTAGTTTATAGCACAATTATACTGTTTTCTGAGTGAGTTACATGAGTTTTTAGTAAGAGAAAGATCCTATGAGGTTAATATTAAAAATAACTAAGACGGGTAAATCTTTTAACAGCAATGCTAACAAGAGAAAGGAAAAATACCTGGAAAAAATCCCAAGGTTGTAACTTGAAGTTTGCTTTTCATAAAACATGTATTTTATCCCTTTCTGTGAAACCCAGGTGATGATATTTTTGCCCCTTTTCCTTCTTTTAGGTGCGTATTATTTGTTCTGCAGTGACTCCTCTCCAAAGCTTGTTCCTGCTAGAACGTGACAATGGTGAGCTAGAGCACAACAGAGTGTTGATGGATGATTTGGATTTGAGCCAGGTACACGTTATTAACATCGTCTCCCTTTTGTAACAAAATTGGTTCTGGTCTCATAATTACAGCAGCATTTTGGGAAGAAGAATCAAGTAAACATTTAACTAGTGATTTGCTGCTTTTCCTGCAGTGTATCCGTCGCTCTTATAATTGCATGTTATGTTATTTACTCATAGTCAAAGAAAATGTCACAATATATAGAATCATTTTCAGGGCATTTTGGTTGTTAATTATGATATCTGTTCAATCACTATGAAAATACTGATTTAAGTTAGCTCCTACATTTAAAATACTGAAATAAAAGGTGGTCTGTTCTACCTCTTCCTAGACCACACAGGACTGCCTCACAAATCCCCACAAAGGACACCATTTTGCATGTTGCTTATTCTGTTTTTCCTTTTCCTTATAACCTAGTTATTGATTTTTAAATTGTCTAAATCAGTATACAATTAGTCAACAGAAAAGTGAAAATAGATGGTTAACATGTCATCAATTAGTTTTAACCTCAAACTATTGTTTTGCTATGTTTCTTCAGAGCATTGCCTAGATTAAATAGGTCCAAAAATTAAAGAACACCTCAGTTTTATTTTTTGGTGCCATGCTGCTGTCTTGTGTTGTCAAAGCCTGTAAAGCACTCAGCCTTAGGAGTCAGGTGGGATGCCCTTCAGTACAGCTCCGTCCTTCACAGCTCTTTGGTGCTGTTCTTGTGTACCCATGTAGGATTCTGCCAAAGGACTCTCCGTGTTTACAGGAGAAGAGGAGATCTTTGCCTTCCAGAGGACTGTCTCTCGGCTTACAGAAATGCAAACTGAACAGTACTGGAAGGATGGGGACAGAAGCAAAAAAAAGTTGTAATTAAAAGTTGAATAAAATCACCCAGAAGTAAAACTACAGAACTGGAAAGCATTTTAGCACAACTGAAATAATAATTGCACTTTATCATCTGGACCATGTTTTCTTTCATCGGTTGTTCTTGTGCTTAAGACATGAGGACTCGGTTATTTTTCTGTACCACTAGTGCGTGGACATGGGAAATTTTGCCTTTATTTTCATTTCTGTAAAATATAAGATTGATGTTCAGGAGGTTTAATGGGATTAGAATTTTTCTGGAGAATTGGTCTAGATGCAAAGTTAATGGGACTTGCAGGATTCACAGTAGATTTCTTATGTCATGTGAAGAGGATTCATGTGGTTCTTCCACCGTTCCTGTCATGTACAATGCAGTTTACACAAAAGAAAAATCAAATGCTTTCTTTATGAAACTCCTGATATTGTGTAGGTCCCTGCTAGAATCCTAGAACTCCTCTGTAGTGTATTCTGGTTTGGGTTTTGGGGTTATTTTTCCCATTTTTTGTGTGTAGCCATCTGCTGACTTTCAGGCTTTTAAAGTTTCTTGTAATCAGACTGTCACTCAGTCTGTTTTATTGGAAACTTAAAACAGTTTGAACCCTGAGGGGGAGCTTGAAAGTACTTGAAACTGCACAGGATTAAGATCTAAGTAATCATGGATGGGAAAAGAAACTATGATAAGACAGGGTGTGTTGTAACATAAGTGCAAGTGAATCCTAAATTTTGTGATTCTTGCAAGCCTGGGTGTGGTGCCTCTGTATCAGTGACGTGTCACTACCCTGAATTGGCTCAGCTGCTTCTGCACCAGGAGTGTTCTTCCATTGCTGCCAGCACGCCTGCCCTGGCCTGGGGAGAGCAGTGCACAGTGCTGCTGAGCCAATTCCTCACGGTGCTGTAGGGTGGCATGTTAACTGATACCTCAAAACACGTCACCCACCCTCCTGTGTGTAGCTGGACACTTTCTTTTAATTAAAAATGTAATTGTGTCATTCTTGGTTTTCATCTGAGACAAAATATGCTATTGCACCAATTAGCTTTTAGTATCTTTTTATAAAAAGTCATTTTAAGAGCATATTCTAGAAACTTTTTAATTTCTAAGGGAGGACATGTATAACACACTGTCCCCAAATTTGAGGGGTTTGCTTGGATTTTGCAAGATTACTTTTTTTCTTGTACTCTCTGTTACGAAAAGATTTCTTCTCTGCCCTTGTTAAGCCTGATTAAATTGTTTCAATTATTGCCCCATCATAATTCCAGAAAGCTCTCAGCAAGGACTCTGGTGGGCAGGGAGGACTGGAGAGGTCCCGTGCAGTTGCCTGTGTTATGGCAGTACAGATGAGTGCACCCCCAGCAGGTGTGCCATGACACCAGGCTGCATGTGCAGCTGACACACTGGAGAGAAGGGATGTGCCACCCAGAGGGACCTGGACAGGCTGGAGGGGTGGGCACAAGCCAACCTCATGAAGTCCAACAAGGCCAAGTGCAAGGTCCTGCACCTGTGCCAGGACAATCCCAGGCACCAATACAGGCTGGGCAGAGTATGGATTGAGAGCAGCCCTGAGGAGAAGGACTCAGGAGTGATGGTTGATTAGAAGCTCAGAACGAGCCAACAATGTGCAGTGCAGCCCAGAAGAGCCCCAACCACATCCTGGGCTGCATCAAAAGAAGTGTAGCCAGCACACCAAGGGAGATGATTCTGTCTCTCTACTCCATTCTCTTGACACCCCACCTGGAGTGCTGTGTCGAGGTCTGGAGGCCCAGCACAGGAAGGACATGGACCTGTTGGAGCAGGTCCAGAGCAGGACCATGAAGATGATCAGAAGGCTAGAGCACCTCTCCTATGAAAACAGGCTGAGGGAGTTCAGGTTGCTCAGGCTAGAAAAGAGAAGGATCTGTGGAGATATTATTGCAGCCTTCAAGTATCTGAAGGGAGCCTACAAGAAAGCTAGGGAGAGACTTTTTACAAGGACTTGTAGTGATAGGATGAGGGTAATGGGTTCAAACTGGAAGAGTTTAGATTTAAGTTAGATGTAAGGAAGAAGTTCTTCACTATGAGGGTGGTGAGACACTGGAACAGGTTGCCCAGGGAAGCTGTGGATGCTCCATCACTAGATGTGTTCAAGATCAGGTTGGATGGGGTCTTGTGCAATCTGCTCTAGCGGGAGGTATCCCTGTCCATGGCAGGGGGATTAGAAATAGATGATCTTTAAGGCCCGTTCCACCCCAAACCATGCTACGATCTGTGTTTTGGAGCTGTGTGATCAAGTCTGGTTTTCTGTTCTGATTGCTTCTGTTTGTCCTGGAAGTTACTTATACTGGCTATACCTGCTCTTCAAATAATTTTTAAAGCCTATCTTTATAGTTTACAGCTTACGCAACTATGTTGTTATTCCCACATGGGTGACTACCCTGGAGAATTTTAATGTATATTTCTGAAAACCCCAATCAGAATACATTGCTTGTACTTAAGAATATCTGCATAATTGATGCATATTTTCAGAGATTTGTATTTGGTTTCTCAACAGAGGGACTACTGAGATTTATGTATGTGTCTGTATACACACACATGTATACTTAATTTACACATACATATAAATATAGATAAAACTAATATATATAATTTCAAGTGTGTGTGGTTCTACATTTATACATGGCAGTCTATACTCATGAGCCTGGGCCTCTGCTGATAACTCTGCTGAAGCTTCAGCCTTGACATTTTTTTCTAGTAGCATTCAAATGCCTCCTGCCTTGTCTGATACAAAATGTGTTGTGGGAAGATGGGAGGTGGTGGTAGATACCCTCAAGCACTTTGCGCCTGAATGTTTATTTGCACTCTTTAAAAAAAATGTTTATATGGTTAGCCTGTATGTCCTCCTCTGTCACATGTTACAGGGGAAGTGCATCATCTTGCAGAACACAGGTGAGACATTTGGGACATCTGAGAAGGGAGATGCTGGCAGGTTCTGCATTGTCACAGAAAGAAGACTGTATCAGGCTGGGGAAGTGAAGTGTTTCCCCACAGTCAGTGTGGGTGATGACCAACCTCCTTTAACCAGAGGGTCCCTGGAGGCCCCTGGGCAGATCTGTTCATGTTCAAACTTGTGCAGCTTTGCCTATTGGTGTTTGCAGCTTTTCTGCTATCTAAGCACCCATCCCAAACTTAGGTACCCCAGGTTATTGGAACCTGCAAAACGCAGTGGGATTGATGTATCATTGAAAGCCTCCAGGGATGTACGTGAGTTCTGTCAAACCACAGGCGGGAAGTTCCCAAAACCTTCCAGGGCATGTTGCTAAATAAAACCATAGTGCAGTCTTTCCCAGGCCAGCAAGGAAGCCATCTGTTGGGAATCATTGGTAGGCACCAGCAGTAACTAAGGAGAAGAAATGGAGAATGTTCCGGAAGTGTTTTGGGGCTGAAACCAAGAAAATCTGCTTAAAACACTGTGCAGTATTTGGGGTTGCACTGACAGGATGCAATTGCCACTTTTGGGTCACGACCACAAGGAGAGATGGATGGGACCAATCTGTCAGCCGGCCCAGATGCTGGGGCAGAGATCCCTGCAGTAACCACAGAAGCAGCACGTTTATGTCCCTCTACTTCCCTGAAGAAAGCGTGGCCCTGTGCGCTTGTTTTATGATGCTGCCAATGATGCTGTAGCATGCGTAAGGTCTCTTCCCAAGAGTGAATTTGGGAGGACGACTTCTGAGGTCAGACGACTTCCAGGCCAGAATCTCTCACTGGGGCATGGTGGACAACACAGGGTATGTAGGTGACCCAGGGTGCTGGGTCACCTACACTGCCCTCGGTCCTGTCCTTTGCTGCCTGGCCTGATCCTCAATGCTGTCAGTCAGCAGCCACCCGTGCACTAAGATGGTGTATTTGCCAAAATGTAAACAATGAGATGCCTGTAAATATATCATGCACACTCCTTAATGGCCTTAAAATTGCTGGATTTATGCTGGATGCTTCTATCCTAATTTGAATCATTGGCTTTTTTAGGTTATTCTTAGCTTGCAAACTCATGTCATCTCAGACCTGAACAAGGTTTTGTTTCCCTTGTAGTTATTCAGCTAATATTATTGTCAGGTTGTTTTTAAAGGTCTTTTTGAGTGGCCTTATTGATGCAGTAAGATGTTTTGCTGTCACAGGAAGTAAAATCCTTGTGTGAAAAGTTTCATGCTGGTTTATAAAGGCCACGTCCTGACTAAGAATCTCTCAGCTGATTAAAACACTTGATTGACAAAGGGAATGTTCAAAATGCCTGAACACTTAAATAACTGCTTCTGGGAGCACAGTTACTCTATCCATAGAAACATTTTCCCTTTAAAGCTGTATTTTCATTTTTGCATCCTTGTGCCATAGCTCTTTAAAAAAAAAAAAGGCAATTTTACCTTTCAAAGTTACTTGTTTTCAGTGTTTACCTTTGCACAGATAGAGGGAACAGTTGCAATATTTGGGTGTAAGGAGACAGCCTTCCAAAGGTCTTTGGAGGGACTGAAGGTGCACTTCTTGCTGTTGTCACTTTTTGGTCTAAAAAGGAAAGCTGTCAATGTCTCTTTGAGTAAAGGTGATCCTAGTGACACTAGAGCTGAATAGATGTCACCTATTTTGAAGCAATTTAAACATGAGAAAACCTGACCAGGTTTCAAACAATGCTTAGCATGGTCACCAGAATCTGTCACTGCGGCATGATGTACAACACGGCAGAAGATGAGCCTCTCTATCTAGACTTGTCTCTTAAGAGAATCAAGATCCAGGAGTTTTCTTTCTGCAGCTGTCTAGTTCTTAATAATCCCAGTGCCTCAGTTTCCCTGTTGATAAAGTGGGAATGATGTTATGTTGGAGTGCTGCCAGGCTTCACTCATCAATATTCTAAAATGCTTGCTGAGGCTCTTGGATGAAAATACTTCAGTAAAGTGTGTAAATTGTGCAAAAAATAGTTTAGCTACTCAAAGTGGATTAGTTTCCTTGTTTGGGTTGCAGAATTAATGCCATCAACTAAACA